TTTTTTATTTTAATTTAGTTCTGAAATAACAATTATAGACATATAAAAAATTTTTTTTTTAAAAAAGACAAAAAAACACAAGAAAATTACTAAAAACTTAATTTAAATAAAAATAAAAACTGATTTAAAACATTAATAAAACATATAATGGTATCTCACTGATACAAAAATAACAACTTACCAAATATTAGGGGTGTAACAATATATTGTGTCAAAATATAATCGCAATACAAAAATGCAACAATATGTATTGTGAATAGTTCAACCAAAAATGAAAGTTTAGGTGTTTGTTCACATAAAAACAATGATCAACGCATCAAATATGGTAAACCCAGAAGCTCACACATTTGAGCTTCCACGATACTTAATTATGATTAATAAATTAAAAATACATTATTGAATAAATTTTTTTTTTTTAAATGTATGTTGTCAGGGACAGAGAGCAAGCATGATTCTAAAATAATTATATTTTTAGCTAAGCAGAATAATGAATATTTCTATTGTGTATCTTATTTTGTTAACCATTTATCACATGATGTGCATGTAATAATAAAAAAATACCTACCATTTTAACTCTATTTTGTTTAAAGTATCATGAGAGAAACGTATCGTCAGATCAGTTTTGTGCATCAAACAAATTGTGTCATGAGTGTATTGTTACACCTCTAAAATTAAAAGAATGTGACCCTGGAGCACAAAAGCAGTCATAAGTCGCTGGGGTATATTTGTAGCAATAGCCAAAAATATATTGTTTTTGAATTAAAATATTTTTATTTTTACATTTTCCACTTTAATTTGAATTTTAGTTAAAGTTTGTAGTGACTTTGTAGTGTGTTTTGTAATTTTTAATATTTCTACATGGCTTTTATTTAAGTTTTGGTTATATTAGTACATCACTAGCTGAAATAAAACAAGTGTAATATTAGGTTTTTTTGTCTTTGCAAATCAGCTGAATTTTTTTTTCAAGATCCAGAGCTGTGTAATTATAGTCATGCTTGCTAATTTGCTAAAAATTCAGCAATTTACAAAAAGAACAATGCATTAAGCATCTTAATCAACATCATTTTTCTTCTTTCCTTAATTCTTAATTTTAAACTATGCATTTTATTATTTTTCAAACAGTCTGATTTCTTCATTATTTGCATTGCATTATCTGCAAATAAACATTTCAAAAAGCATTCCTTTATGCTTAACAGTACATCATGCTACTAGCAATGAGTCTGATTTCTTTATATAAAGTTAATTTATAAATTTATAAAGTATATACCTTGAACGCAATGCAAGTCGCTTTGGAAAAAAGCTTCTAATGCATGAATATAAAATGCAAAAGATATAAAATCTAAATTGCTTTATATTTCATCGGGAGTCATGACAGTGAAGTTGTTGAGCTGGAACAGCAGAGAGACACACTGAGACAGGAAGAGCTGCAGGGTTTTAATGGCACCGTAGGGAGTCTTCTGGTGTCTGAGGTTCTTCACTAAGCTGCTCTGTCATCTCTGCTGTGCCTTCAGACTCCCTCGACACTGAGTGCGTGTGTGTGTGTCAGTTCATGTATTGAAATGCTCCTCTGTACTGTAGCATAACACAATAACTTATTCATAACGCTCTTAATGGTTATTCATTCACATCACTGAGGTGTAGCTATATATTCAAATGTTTACCGATTATGATACAGTCATTATACAAAAATATTTGAGAATGCAGCCAATCAGAATGAAGTATTCCAGAGAGCCGTGCAGGAAGTCATTAAACTGACTGAGGAGTCATGTGACTCACCTGACCGTCAGCGTCAAAGGCCAGACAGGCCACACCGTGAGTGTGAACGTCTCTCAGGATGGACACGGTGGTCAGCGCGTACGAGTCCCACACGCAGATATACGGATCCTTCCCAACCTGACCTGTGGCCACCTGGGTCTTATCCGGATGCAGCGCTAGACTGAGAACAGAAGAGACACACGCTGTGAGTTACAATGAAGGGAAGGGAAGGGAAGGGAAGGGAAG